TAAAAGCCCTTTTTAGGAAAACGTTCGACCTCATACTGCAAAGTCGACTCACCATATTATGGAGAGTTTGGGTTGGACCACAATAACACATCCATCGGATAACCCTGGTACTACTCTATCGGATTGTCATCTCTTCTGCTCTTTAAAGCAGCATAAGGGCGGTTTTTGAAGGTTACAACCATCTCAAGTAACCTCACCGACTTCCTTTATCGCCAGAATCATTCTAGGAAGGCATCCAATCTTTGCTCGCAAATGGTTGCATATATTTGGTCATGATAGTGCATATATTGTTGTCAATTAGTGTCTTTACATAATTTACGATTAAATAACAAAAGTGTCGAAATGCGCAAGAAACTGTGGGACAACCCGATACTGAGTTATGGATATACATAGTTTTACATTTCTGCTTCCCTTTGTAAGACCCAACTCTATTGAGCCGATTCTTAAATATTTGTGGAAGAGGTGTATCGGATGTATAAGCGAATAAGATAAAAATAGAAGTGGCTACTTCTACATCTCAAGCTGTTTTAGCTCCTGTTGTAGCTCATGAGGATATTTGTGGAATGGTTAGCGTTGTTCTGCAGCACACACATATTTGGTGGTTTCACTGCGCATCCTCATGTCATCGAACGGCTTATTCCTCTCGGGTCAGCTAAAGTTCATAGACCTTCACCAAGTAGGATAGCAACTTTGACTGATACATCGGTAGTCCACCGCCAGTCTTTGTATGGGTCAAATATGTATTTAGTCATCGCTAACGATCCTTGATATAGTCGCATGCATAGTGCATCCTCTAGGGATCAATGAACGCCGGGAGCTTTATCTTTCATCCTTCAATATGTCTGCTTACTGCAAGCAGTAAACATCAATGTGCCACATTTGATAACGCTTGGATTATGCTACTCTCACGAGATATGCTAAAAAGCTATCGTAAATAAGCGTTACAATAATAGCGTCGTGTCCGCTCATAAAATAAAAAGTGAATCATATAATCCGGATGAGCTTTTGCTGCTTTTCATACATAGTTTTGATGAATATCCTTGTTTCGAAGGAATGTGGTACACGAAGAATAACTTGTACGCCACATAGTTTTTTTCATTGTTGAATGTAGTGTGGAGATAAGGATATGGTAATAATGGTGTTGTTCAGTGCAAAGAAAGCCCTGATTCGATCCAGAACTATGCGAACCAATCCTCCCACCACTTCGGTCGGTTGGGAAATTTTTATTACAGCTTTCTAGAAACTTCTGCAATCCAAAGACCATGCAACACCCCAGCACGGCTATCGCAGTATTCTGGGGAAAATCGACAAGATCACTGTTTATGGACGTTCATTAAACAGGCCAAATATTCATAAGTGGCAACCAAGCTGGCACACGCACAAGGTCTAAACATCTTTGGAAATAATGAATGCGAAGTAAACGAAATGATTTGGGGGAGTGCTGAGATCTGTACAGGCTCTACAATGATATTGAATGCAAAGTTTTCAGCAGACGCCTGATGCAAAATGTATGTTGTGAAGGTATGTAATATTCGAAAAAACATAGAAAAAGCAGTTTTGTGCTAAAATAGAATGAGTGGAGATTAACTCATACCTCTCAGTACGGCTATTGTGTTCGTCAAATCTCAAGCCTGCTCAACACGTTTTGACTCGAATGTGTCAAATACTGAGAGTAATAAAATAGAAGTCGGTAAATGAATTGATATCTTCCAACGTTGGAAAATGAACATAGAAAAATGACCAGAGTTTCTTCTATTGTTTAATATATATGAGTGGTGCATATGCTATTATTTGCGTCACTATTGTCCATTCTACAAACACATTGCACTCGCATTCAGAACTGCTTTGCAACTTATTCTATCTCTGTATGTATCTATTCTATTCTATCTATCTATCCTATACGTAGAGATTTATCCCCCTACAAGAGAATGGCCGATCCTAAAGGCACGTGTTAGTGATGAGGCTAAAATTCCGAAGCACATGTTTAGCACCGTTTGAGTGCCCTAACAGACCTCATGATAGGGTCAAAATATGTTATCAGATTGTATATTGTTTTGAGCGAAGTCTAAGTATTTTATCTCTGTTTTGGTAATTTTGCATCCACAGATTCTAAGAATAGCTATGAACAATTGCGCATATACTGGATTCAAAGTCGATACCGACTACATGAGCCAAACCGTTGACTGTTGGTTGCTGATAGATAGGTGCGTTGTAGCGTAGAGAGTTACCGGGAAAAGGGGTGTAAGTAGTGCAACGGGTTAGAGCACTTGCTCCCGGACAGGATGAGATGCGGGTTCCAGTCCCGCATAAAGCGAAAGTTTATCACATCACTCTACAACATTGGGTATATCTATAACATCATGCCACCTTTGGAAGCAACCAAACAGAAAGAATTCTATTTTAGCGAGTAACAGTTGATTGTGCGTTGAATATCGGGTTAATGAAATTGCTTTAGGGGAAATTTTTGATCTTTTATGTGGTATAAAGTTTTTTTAGGCAACATCCGTCAGCGCCTGTGTCGCATTAGCTATCACTCGACTACAAGAAATGTAAGAAAAGCATCTGTCGGCTAAAAAGATCACGTGAAGATAGTGTTCCCTATATTGCCATACCGGCCACTCGGGGAGCCTCACTAAGATTCCATAAAATGGACTCAGTTTGCTATGTGCGAGTTGCATGTTCAGGATTAAGGTTGATTAATAGGTTTAATTTAGGGTGAAATGCACAAAATTATCAGCGTTCAAGGGTATGCCAGATACCTTCCACTACTCCGTTACGCAAATGGATTCTTAGCAGATGTTGCACAAAGACAATTGCTTCGGTAAGTACGCAAGAGAATTTGCAAGTTAGGTAGCTTACCGATAAACATGTCTTATGTAACCCAAAATTTCATCTCCTCTCAGCAGTTTTCACATCAATGTCGTCTTTAATGGGAGATAAGAAATCAATGGATAAAGCTCTCGGCGTTAATCATTCCCTAACAGGTGCGCAGTGTATTCTTTTTCATTCAGCGTCGTTTGAGGCGATTGATTGCATATCTGGCTTTCACAATAACTCCCGGTGCCAGTATACTTCCAGACAAATTCAGTATCAGTCTTCTTAATTCGGACGGATTTCTGAGCCTTGAATGCGGCGTCAAACTATCGACCATTGACTGACCGACCACGTGTGTGTCGTATAGCACCTTAGCCACTGCGCTGCACGCGCTTTTGTATGAGAAAGTGTTAGATTCAACACTTTCTGACTAGTCTGCTAGTAACATGGTGTAGATGTCAATTCTATAGAAATGAAAATCGGCGAAGAAAAACGCAAGGAAATACGTTCTGTTTGTGCCACATAACTGGAAATCCTTCGTTATAGGATAGGAAGACTTGCGTTTTGCTATCAGAAAACTAAAGTCTTACTCAGTTTTAATCCAAATTAGTATAACTCACTAAGGTCTAAGGTGTGCTTGTTCCAAAGCTGAATGGCCCAAGTATCTCCAACTACTGTAAAAGCATCTAAGATGATTGAGTGCTAAATAAATTCGACCTCAGGCCGAAGTTGAATCCAAGTTTCATCCGTAGCTGCGAGCGCGCCATAAAAGGATCATCTATTCTACGTTGAGTCATGATAAAGGAATGAAATATCGCAAGTTACGATAACTTCTTTCAAAATTTTGCTGATGCGAGGAGTTTGATAGATAAGATCTATTTACCTAACGTTTCGACGCGTTTCGCCTTTTTCAGAGCCGATGATTCGAGTCAATTGTCCACAGTCGTCCGCCCTCGTTATGGATCTTCGTCTTCGTTGTCGATCGAGTCGGATCTCCTTCGATGGAGCACCGCTCGAATACGAACCTACTCGGCGATGTCCTTATGTACAGGGTAAATGCGACGCTAATTATCCGTTAATAGTTTTATTGCTCTTCGTAGTTTATTGAAGTCTATAAAGTTTATGTTCTCATAAGTAAGGATGACAAGTTCATAGAAGTAAAAAAATTCGGGATAGAGAAGTAACAAAGTAGGTACTTTCTGGCGCTTTATTATCCGTCATCACAGTGTTTTTTCCCCTGCGGATTACAGAACATCTAGCATTCAATTCTTATATTTTCGTCTTCTTCTTGAACGTCGTTTAACGTCTCCTTGACTCCTTAACGTCTCCGTAGCTGGCTGAAACACGTCTCCTTGCAATCTCGAGGATAGCGTGGCTGTGGCGTTCCATGGGGCGTTCGATGTTGACCGCCGGAGAGTGTTGGGGAGCGGAACCCAGTCCGCGCGCATCGTGACGAGCATTACAATCACTCGGCTAGCCGCCCCTTAATGAACTAAGTGAGAAGTAATTTGCAAATTTTAGTGGAATTGGACACTGCCTTTGAACGAGAGTTTCTGAAACCTCGTTTCTGAACTTCGATATATTCTGGTAGACTGAAAAGATTTGACTACATTTTGCTTTACCGGGTCATAACCATTTGAAGACCATGAGGGTCTTTTTGATGCTCACCTCGAGACATCAAATCTCATTCAGCTACTGTAATTGCGGCTGCGCGTCTCGTGGGAAAGCAAGCAGACACCCAGATATGCGCGCACAGACATGCAGATGCCGTCTGCCTGACTGCCGAGCGAGCGCCGGCGCGACGCCTTCTACCAATTAGTGCTGGTTCTCAAAGGGTTAATATCTTAAATGTCTCCTCCCCCCTACCCCATGGGGCAGCCGATGAGGCGTGTGGCTCTGACGAGGCGAGTAATCGCCGAACGTTCGTAAGCCACTGATATAGGAAATCTTGAAAAAGTTTCAAAAAAAGCTAAAATGTCTACTATAATATATTGCAATGACTTGAGATTCCGTCCCCCTCCATGAGAAGATTTGACACCAAAGATGTTACGGTAACCCAGCGGTGTTCTCTCGCGAGGGAATCCATCTCTCATTCACGAAAAGAGATATTGATCTGCCAAAGCAGCAAAACGGTAACAAGATCTGTAAAATGTTGCGTGATCTGTAAGTATTTTTTTGTTTTGGTAGCCTCGGTGGTGTAGTGGTAGCACGCACATTCGCTATGGATGAAACACGGGTTCAAGTCCCGTCTGAGATCGAACTTTTGCTCATCACTCAATTCTTCTAAGCTTATTTGAAACATCATAGCCCTTCGAAATGAGCAGTCAAATGTAAGGAATCTTGAGTACTAATTCATTAATTTATTCAACACAACCATCGTCAAAACTTTACTCTGTTGATCCTAGCATTTATTGAATAGATCTCTTTGGAAATTTCACATTTGGCTTAGTCGAGGCGGCTTTCCTTGCAGTCCTGAAGCTATCTGAGCGAAGGGGGTTCGGTTGCTTGATCGCAACAGAGTGTTAGCGATCGGGTGATTGAACCAGAGCCTCTCTTATCACCATGCTTCCGGATACACCGCGTCGTTAACCACTGCGCTACGCCTCCCCTGTCCGTAATTGCGGACTAGGCCTTTGCTGCCACACAATTAGACGGTTAGAATCTCCCATATGACGTATCTGCGGCTGCTGCTGGCAGTCCCTGTGTGCCAATCTTTAAAGTACGAAGTTTGTGAAAACTCTATAGACCCGTGGGGAAACGCTTCCACCGCTGGCGTCCGGGAACCCAATAATGGGCGATGCCTTAAGGGCAAGGTACACGTCATTTATGAGGTGTCTGTAAGTTCAGAACACGCTTGGGAAATGACGACAATGTCACTTGACTGTTACTTTTCATCCCTTCATCCTTCTTTCTTTTTCCTTTTTCCTTCATTTCCTCGGCTCATACTTCCTTTTTCATTCTTCCATCTCCTTCCAGACGTAAAAAAATCAGTTCCGAACCGCATTTTTCTTTGCTTGTCATCGAGGAGTTGTAGAGCCTCGGGGTTTTACGGATTCTGAGTGAAATGCAAAACTTTGAGCTGCAGACGAAAATCGAACTTGGGCCTCTCCATTTTCGGGCTACGTGCTAACCAATCGCGCTATCGAGGTTCTTGTTCTGCTTCCATCCTTTCAGTTAAATTTGACGGAGCGATTTGCATTTTTGACAGGAAAAGTTCGTATTGATATATAAGAAAGTTTTGAGGTATGAGAGGATTTGCAATTATTTTTTCTCAATAAAAAAGGTTAGGTCTGCTTTTTTGCTGTCATTTTCCACTTTTTTGCATGGTTATTTTTATTGTTGATTATTATTATTGTATTATATTTATAATCATATTTATTATTATTTGTTTTATTATTTATTGTAATTATTATGTTTTATTATTTATTAACCATTATTACTGTATTATATTTATTATTACATTCAATATTATCATTATTTATTTTATCTTAAAGTGGAGGAGTGGTTTCATTTTCCTTTTTCCTTTCTCTTTTTGACGTAAATAAGGAGGGGGGGGGGGGGGGGGAAGGAGGGAGATGTTTGTTTGGAACTTTCGTAATTCGTCATTGAAGTGGTTTATGCATCCCATACTTATATCCTCTGTGTTCTCGCATCGTTGACTTAAATTTGTTCCACTTTGGGTACGATTCCGGTTATTGCAATCACTTTTTCAGCCAGGATTTCTTTCTACTTAGTCGCCTCTAGCGGTGGTATGATGTTATTGATATACCCACTGATGTGGATTGATCTGCAAAACTTTCTCGTCGGTCGGGACTCGAACTCGCGTCTCACTCTATCCGGAGTCGCTTGCTCCAACCCGTTGCACTACGGATGCTCGTTTTGCCCACCACTCTATCTATGCAACAAAGCATCTATCTATCAGTAACCAATTGATATCGGTTTTTGGCCCAGGGTTCACGCTCCAGGATAGAGTGAGATGCGGCTTAGAGTTGTGCCTAACGTGAATGTTCTGCACATCACTCCGCACCAATGGATATACTTTTCCAACCCTTTGTACAAGGCTTTCGACGCCTTTCTCGAACTTGCAGGAGTTATTCCGTAGCCAAAAACGCGGCAATTTAACCGTTTTGGAGCCGTGGGCCCACCATCTCTGCATCTCCAACCCTCAGCGCGGCAACGCTGGACGGTCTGCTTCATCTCTGAATCTTAACCCTCAGCCTGGGAACGCGTTGAAATATGTACTTGGTTCTGAAAAGGCTTTCATAGAGTGCTGTAGCAGCAAATATAAGATCATATTTCACAATCGAAGCGGATTTTTCGCTCGGCTTGGGTTTGTGGATGGTCTTTTGACAGACTTTTAGAGGTTATTTTCTAGCATATTTTGGTGATTCTGAAGCCAAGTTTGAACTTTGAGAAGGTCTCCATAGAGCCCTGAAAGACTGAAGAGAAAATTGTGTTCCACTCTCCTAGGCTTAGGCATGTACTTGTAGCAGGTTTATTTGACAGTATGAAAAGGGTTTTTGAAAAGTGCATATCTACAGAACGATAGAATAAAGTGTCCTCTACATTTTGATACGGAAAACATGGAAATTTCTCTAGAGCGAAGAGAAAATTCCCAAATATATGATGAAAATCCGCGCGCTAATGCTCGCCGAGTGTGGAACGCAGTTTGATCTTCGCTGCTCCAGCTCACAACAAAGGCTTTTCCACGAAAACAAGTGAACCTTCAGAATCGCCGATACTTAAGCTGTCGAATGATGTTGAGGATTCTCGAGAAAATGGGAAAAGCCTTGTTGCTAAAAGGTTGAAAAATGGATTGCGAAATCCGACTTTGTCGAATCTGCTTTATTTTAAATTTTTGAAGGCTTTTTTCCTTTGTACGATACATCTAGACTATTCCATTCTTCGAAAATGAAGTTCTTTTTCAAAGCATTTTTATTGCTTTAAGGGTAAACAATGGCCAACGTATGGATGGACGATGGCCAGCAGCAGGGCTCGACGTGGCATACTCAAGGAGCTCCCCAAGCGAACATTAGTTGGGGACAGTTTGATTACTCCCAACAGCAAGATCCGAATCAACACTATACTGGTGGTAAGTCCATTTCTCTCTCTCTCTCTATGTTTCTATTGGCTTGATAACATGTTTTGAGCCGATTGTTATGGTTTGAAGGGCGCATGCGGCGCAGTGGTTAGAGGTGCTGTGCGTCGCACACGAGGTCAATGGTTCGGCCTCGCGCTCATGGCTCACCAAGCCATCCATCCCTCCGGGGTCCGTAAATTGGTACCGGACAGGTCGCAGACTCGTCTGGGAGGATAAGCAGCACTGACTCGGTTCAGTGGGAGGCTACCGCGAGTCATTGCAATGGCCAGATATGCATTCAATCACCTCAAACGAAGTTAGAATTGAAGACGAATGCATGGCGGATCCCTCAGGGATTGATCAACGCCGAGAGTTTTGTCCTTTTATTATGAGGTCTGATATGAGCATATTTGATAATTATTGAAAAAGCATCATGTGTTCTTTTATGGACAACTTATGGAGCCCAATACACGGCCTTGACATCCTCATCAATTGGACTGTACCCTTCGTCTTAGCCAATCCAGGTATACAACACTGCCAATCTAGTGTTTTATTTCACTTGACGGCGCGTGTAAATTCCACGTCGTTGCCTTTTCTATGTAGGGGGATGGGAGCCCCTGAGAGGATTGATTGGCCAAGACGAAGGGTGCTGCCAGGCTGATGAAGCTGTGAATGCCGAAACTCGTGTATTGGGCTCTATAAATTGCCTGCAAAAGGCCACATGACATCATAGCTCAGCATTAATTATCAGATACACTGAAATTTAACGTGATCGTAAGAAAACACTCAAAGCGAACGGTGTGATATGTGCACTTTCAAAGTGCTGGACAGGTGCCTGTTTCGTCCTTCCGGAGAGTAGCACAGTTTCGCCCACTTCAGACGATCCCTTAGGGGGTGATACTCCTATATAAAGGAATGGACACCGGATAATAGGTCACCGCTAGTTGGGTGACAAAAATCCCCTGACATTGCAGTGGCCACGGTCGAGTGTTTACGACTGGTAGAATGAATCATAAGCTACTCTAGATCGTTTATATAGTCCTCGCTCAAACGCTCAAAATAATAATAATCTGGTAATGTGATAACATGTTTTGAGCCGATTGTGGTCTTTGAAATGTCGGGGGATTTGGTTAGCCCAACTTGCGATGATCTATTATCCGGCGTCGACTCCTCTATATAGGGGAGCATCTCCAAGCGATCTGCAGAAATGAGGGGAACTGTGCTATTCAGGAGTCCGCAGTGACGAATCAGGCGCCTTTCTAGCACTCTATAAATGCCCATATCAGATCTCATGACAACCAGCTCAAAACATGTTATCTTTTGTCAGATTATTGTTATTTTGAACAAGTTTTTTGTAGAAGGTTGAGAGTAGAGTATGTTTTCTATGTTTTTGGATATTTAGACGTCTTTTGATCTTCAGGTCAGAGCTATTATCAGCAACAGAATCCCTATGGTCAGTCTCAGGGCTACTATGGTGGTCAAATGTTTATGCCAGTCTCCTCAGCTGGAGGTCAGTAATTTGTATGCTTTCTTTATTATTCTCTTTAGTGTTCATGTGATCTACCAGTAATCATTTCGATTATTAGTCCATTTTCATAAGAGTGCTTGTCTGAACCATCTTAAAAATCCGCATTCATTTATTTGTTTTCAAGTCGTGTTGAGCTTCATTTTGTTTTTAGGAACATCAACAGGCGGTGTTGAGGACTATGAAAACGAGCCACCTTTGCTCGAGGAGCTTGGTATCAATTTTTCTCATATAAAGGAAAAAACGTTCGCTGTTTTGAATCCGGCTGGAACAGCCTCAGCTGAAGTTATAGCGGATCAAGACTTGGCAGGACCATTGGTTTTCTGTCTCCTTTTCGGTACGTTACTGATGTTTTTCTTTTCGTCATCATGGACATTTTGTTGTTAAATCCGGCTTCTTGAAACCTAAGATATTGAACGACGCTCCAACATTGTCTACTTACATTATATACGCACTTATATGTGATATACGTGTATGCACATGTGCATATACACGCCCATATGCACTGGGCATGTACATATACATACACGTATATGTGCACACGTTTACATGTACGTATACATATATATATATGTATATATATATATATATTTATATATATATAAATGCTGTACTTTTTTACTTTAACACTTCATTTGAACCCTCTTCACAG